TGGGTACCAAAAAATCATCTTAGATATCAAAAACAGAATCACACATGCTTTGTACTCTAGAGGGACTTCATTAAAGTTTTGTTGAATTTTAGTTGAATCATTTTTTTTCTGTGAAATGATTTTGAAACATTTTTTATTTCTGTGATAGAGTCACCTACCTAAATGGCCCTATTTAAAGGTACCAGTTCCTAAGTAGTAATCAATAAACTCCCAGCAAACAAAAGCCCTGGTCTGGACAGCTTCACAGGATAGTTTTACCAAACATTCAAAGAAGAACTAACACCTATTCTCCCCAAACTATTCCAAAAAATTCAAGAGGAAGGAATACTTCCAAGCTCTTTTACTGAGGCTAGCATAATCCCAATTCCAAAACCAGATAAAGACACTACAAAGAAAGAAAATTACAAGACAATATCCCTGATGACATTGACACCTAAATCCTCAACAAAATATTAGCAAATCAGATCCAGCAATATATTTAAAAAATCATTCACCATGATCAAGTGGGATTATCCCAAGGATGCAAGGCTGGTATAATATTTGTAAATCAATTAATGTGATATACCACATAAACAAAACAAAAGATAAAAATCATATGATCATATCAATAGATGCTGAAAAATCATTTAACAAAATCCAGCACCCATCCCATTTCTGATAAAAACTCTCAGCAAAGCAGGAATAGAGGTATCATCTAAACATAATAAAGGCCATGAAAAGGAAAAAAAAAAAAAAACCTACAGCCAACATCATATTCAATGGACAAAAACTAAAAGCATTTTCCTTAAGAACAGGAATAAGATAGGGATGTCCACTTTTACCACTACTATTAAACATAGTACTGGAAGTCTTAGTCACAGTGATCAGACAAGATGAAAAAAATGAAAGGCATCCAAATTGGAAAGGAGGAAATGAAACTGTCATTATTTGTAAATGACATAATATTATACATAGAAAACCCTAAAGACTCCATAAAAAAAAAAAAAAAAAAAAAAAACATTAGATTTAATAAATAAATTCAGCAAAGTAGCAGGATACAAAATTAATGTCCAGAAATCAATGACATTCATATACACCAATATTGAACACTCATAAAGGGAAACTTAAAAAAATCTCATTTACCATTGCAACAAAAATTTAAGATACCTAGGAATAAATTTAACCAAGGAAGTAAAAGACCTGTTCTCAGAAAACTATAGGACATTGAAAAAAGAAATAGAGGAAGATATTTAAAAGTGGAAACATATACCATGTTCAGGGACTGGAAGAATCAACATCATTAAAATGTCCATACTATACAAAGCAATCTACAGATTCAATGCAATCCCTAGTAAAGTACCAATGGAATATTTCACAGTTCTAGAACAAATACTCCAAAAGTTTATATGGAACCAAAAAAGACCCTGAATAGCCACAGCAATCTTGACAAAGAAGAACAAAGTTGGAGGGATCACAATACTGGATATTGTTATACTACAAAGTCATTGAAATCAAAACAGCCTGTACTGGCACAAGAACAGGCATATAAATTAATGGAACACATTAGAGAGCCCAGAGATCGACCCAAAACATTATGTTCAATTAATATTCGACAAAGGAGGCAAGAGCATACAATGGAGAAAAGATAGTCTCTTCAATAAATGGTGTTGAGAAAATTGGACAGCTACATGCAAAAAAAAAAAAAAATGAAACTAGACCATCAACTTATACTGTATACAAGAATAAACTCAAAATGGATAAAAGACTTAAATGTAACTCATGAAACCATAAAAATCCTAGAAGAAAATGTGTGTAGCAAAATCTCAGACATCACACATAACAGAATTTTCACTGATACATTGCCTAAGTCAAGAGAAACAATGAAAAAAATTAATAATTGGGACTACATAAAACTAAAAAGTTTCTGCAGGGCAAAAGAAACCAGCATGAAAATGAAAAGAGAACTCACTCTTTAGTAAAACATGTTTGCCAATGATACATCAGAAAGGAGGTTAATATCCAAAATATATAAAGTTACACATACAACTCAACAAAAGGAAGACAAAGAACCCAATTTAAAAATGGGCAGAGGACCTAAACAGACACTTCTCCAGAACAGATATACAAATGGCCAAAAGACAAAAGAAAAAGCACTCATTTCACTTTTCATCAGAGAGATACAAATTAAAATGACCATGAGGTATCATTGCACACCTGCCTGAATGGCTGTCATCAACAAATCATCAAACAACAAGTGCTGGCGAGGATGCGGAAAAAAATGGTACTCTAGTACACTGCTGGTGGGAATGCAGACTGGTGCTGTCATTATGGAAAACAATGTGGTGTTTCCCGAAAATATTGGAAATGGAACTGACATTTGACCCAGTGATCCCATTTCTAGGAATCTATCCTAAGAAGCCTGAAATACCAATCAGAAAGAATATATGCACCCCTATGTTTATAGCAGCACTATATACAATAGCTAAGATCTGGAAACAGCCCAAGTGCCCATCAATAGATAAGGGGATAAAAAAGCTATGGTACATTTACACAATGGAATACTATGCAGCTGTAAAAAATAAAGATCTCTTACCCTTTGTGACAACATGGAGGGATCTGGAAAGTATTATGCTAAGCAAAATAAGTCAGTCAGAGAGAGAAAAATACTACATGATCTCACTTATTCATGGAACATAATGAACAAAATAAGCTGACAATCAAAATAGATCCAGAGACATGGAAGTAGGGAAAAGAGTGACAAATCTCAGAGGGAAGTGAAAGAGGGTGGTGGAAGAGAAAAATCAAAGAACTTATATGCATATATGCATAACCAAAGGACACAGACAATAGTGTGCAGAAGGCAGAAGTGGGGGTGGGAGCCCTGGCCGGTTTAGCTCAGCGGTTAGAGCGTCGGCCTGCGGTCCAGAGAGACCTGGGTTCGGTTCCCGCTAAGGGCACGTACTTCGGTTGCAGTTTGTCCCCGGCCCTGGTTGGTCGTGCGGGTGGCAGCCACTCGATGTGTCCCTTCACGTCGATGTTTCTCTCTCTCTCTCCCTTCCTCTCTCTCTCCCTCCCACTCTATCTGTACAAAAAAAAAAAAAAGGAAAAATATCCTCGGGTGAGGATAAAAAAAAAAAAAAAAAGAAGTGGGGGTGGGGAAGAAAGGGTCAATGGGTTACACCTGTAATACTTTCAACACTAAAGATTAAATACATAGATACATACGTACGTACATACATACATACGTACGTACATACATACAATAAGGCACCAGTTCCATACAGAAAGGCCCTGAAAAATCCATCTGTGTGTGGTCCCTGCCTCCATGACAACCACAACGTAGATGCAGAAATTCTTCATAATCAGGTTGATTATACCAGAAACCAGAAAGACCTCTGGTTAAAAGCATTCGGAGAACATGTTTAACAAATTGAATTTGCAGTTTCTCTGGCCAGGAAGGAGGGAAGAGTGATGGGCACTGGTTATACTAATATCATTTACTTCTCATTCCAAAAGGAATTAATAAAGTTACCAAAACAAAAGAAAAACTATGAGCCCAGTTTTTCTTTCTGGTTGGAGAAGCATGACAAGTTCTACAAGTAGTAATGGTCATCAGGCAGAAGAATTGACCTTGTCACAGATAAAGTGAAAGATAAAGAGGCCCAAAAAAGTGAAAAGATAAAACCTGAGGCTCTGGTATATGCGAAGAAGTCACAGAAAAACAAAGCTGTTCTCCAGTGCTACTAATGGTCCTGAACAAATCAATTATTTTGGAAGGCCCATTAATTCCTGCAGTTTCCCAGTTCTAGTGACTAGGGGACCATCAGGCTCATAGTCACATAGATATTAGGCAATAATCTGACACCTGGTGTGATAGAGGTATGAGAAATAAGCAAGTCTAAGGTAGTGGAGGATTAATTGAAAGGTCAACTTTGATCTGTGTGAACACACAGAACTCTGGGGCTTTGAAGGAGTAGAATACAGGGGATGAGCCAGGGAGCCTTGGCAGGCATCTTATCTGTACCATTAGCTAGTTGTATGACCTTGGACAAGTACTTAAACCTCTCTGTGCTCCCATTTCCTCCCCTTGAAAATGAAGCTGTAAGAGTGCTCATCTCAAAGGATTGTTGTGAGAACCTGACTTGGTCAAACCTGTGCAGCACAACTGTCCAGCATTCAGCAATTTCTCCGGAAATGTCAGCTTTTGCTATTACTGCCCTAGTGCATACAAACTGTTCGATTATGGGTCCAGCCCTTACCAGTTATGCAACATTGAGCACATTACTTCTCTGTGCCTTGGTTTTCTCATGTGAAAAATGGAATAATAATTATTATTTTGTCATAGGGTTGTTACATGGAGTGAGATACAACACCTAGTCTGATGTCTTGCTCAGTAATCCCATGATCAGTGTTATCTGACATTAGTACTATTTCTTCTAGTAGGAAACCAAATAAAACAACAAACATCCTGGCTCAGGCACCAGGGCATGCAGTGGGGTTGAATGTGTGTGGGGGGTTAAATATATAGGCAGGGATGCTTGAAGAAATGATGGGAAAGTTTCTCGTTCTAGGAAAGAAATGTGTGTAATCTCTTATAATGGTGGGTTTGACTCTTCAAAGTGATGTCTAAGATGGTATATGTCACCTGTTTAAAGACTATAAGTTCTTGCAAATAAATAAATAAATGAATAAATAAATAAATAAATAAATACTAAGATAAATTCCTGAGGGCAGAGATCTGCTCACATTTTTTTGCATCCCTAGTCCCCAACACTGCTCTAGACATTGCAAACATTTGCTGAACCTAGTCAAAACGTGGGTCTCGCACCCTGACTGTCCAGCAGAGGCCGCCCTGGGCTGGCTCCCAGGACCGCTGAGCTGGGAGAGGGAAGGCCAGGGGGTGGCCTTGTCGTCGCCTGGGGGCCCAGGTGGGAGGGGTTTGGCAGAGGCTGGCGCGGGGCGGAGGCGGGCCCCGGGCTCCAGCAGCTGGGATGGAGCAGAAGCGCGCTGGACGCGGGAGGATTTGCAGCTAACGGAGTAGCGCTGTGTTCCCCTGGTTTCCTGGCCCGACTCGGATCCTCACGGGCCTCCTGGCTTCCACCGCAGCCCGTTGGGCAGAGGAGGAGCGGTCCTCTCCCGGTCCACTCGATCAGTTCCGACAAACTCTCCCGCTACCCGCGTCGGACTCGGCAGCAAGCACCAGGACACCATGATCGGCAAGACTCTCTTCGCGCTCTGCATCTTCACGGCAGGTACTTTCGGGCGCTGTCCTCCCGAAGGGGCAGGGTGCGGAAAGGGCTGAAGCTGGGAGACTGGGAAGTAAGTACCCGCGCGCAGGTGGCCCAAGTGGTGCGAACCTCCGGGGTTGTGCAGAGCGACGTAGGCACTTGGGTTTGGGTTGATGAGAGCTTCTGGAGATCCTGAACCATGCCGGATCGCGGGGATGACAGGGTCCATCCTGCCGCAGCCCGCGTCGGAACAAACTCCGGGCTGAGTTTGTAGAACAGGTGGCTGCGCGACGCGTTTGAGCCTCGGGTGGGCGACACTGACTGCTATTCGGGGCTTCTCCGGTCTTGCAAGCACACCCTGGCAGAGTCGGGCACCACACTTCTTGGTGCGGTTCAACCTGGGGAGGGATGAACAATGGAGAAAAGGGCGGAGGGTCTGGAAAGGGGTCCGCGGAGTGGGGGGGAGTCCTACCTGGAAGGCTTTAAGCAGTGGCTGCGCACCCGGAGACATTGGTTTGCGTTAGCTGAGACTTGGCGGTCTCTGGTCTCAGGCGTCCGTTTCTAGGGACGATGATGGGGCATTCAAGTCCCATGGAAGCTGCCCTGGCCCAGTTCAAGCTCACGATCGCCGCTGGGGTTTGCAGTTTAACCCAGTGGTCCGGAGCCTCCAAAAATGCGTGCCATAGCAGAAAACTGTTAACTTTGCTAAAACTAGCACCCGCCTTTTCACCCACACTCCCCGACGCACACACATCGCCTCAGACGGCTTCCCTGCTAGCACCTCGCAGGTCTTGCACACAGCAGGAGCTTGGAGAGAGAGGAGCAGGAGGACTCAGCTAGCTCGGTTTGGTGGGGGTTGGGGAGAGATTCAGAACAACGCTTTGAGTCCGGAGTTGGGATACCCGTTTTTTGCAGGAAATGCAGCCCAACAGGGACTACTGAGTATGGACAAGGTACGGTGCAAACAGTAGCTTGGGTGCGCGTACACCGGTATGTTTAGACAAGAACGTTCCAAAGTCACATACATACGCCTATTTGACTCCTGCTGGCAGTCCGTGTACGGTTTTCCTCCTGAAATGCTTGGGTTGCTGTAACTGTGTACATAAGTTGCTACAATCCCTTGAAAAGAAGCTAGGGGTTTCCTGGCAGCTCCCAAAGGATAATGCAATTTTGAGGAAAAGTTTCCCAACTTGAGGCTGTAGCGTGCATTTTTCCTCTACTTGCTGAACATCTGAGAAAATTCCCATTTCTCTCTGGTGTCTGCACCTGGAGCTTGCACAGTTTGAAGACGCGTCCTCAGACGATTCCCTAACAGTCTCCTGCGACTTTGGCTGCGCAGCTCCAGGCTGGCCCGGTGCACCCGGATGCCGGCAGGTGTAACCCGGGCATCTAGCACTACGATTGCCCTGCTTGGCAATTCCCGTAATCCTCCAAGCAAGAGATGTTTAGGAAGGGACATAAAAGCTGCCTTTACTTTCTCCTCACTACAAATCCTTTTGTGAGGCTCGAGGGAGACTCAGAAAACCTAGAGTGAGACTGTAGAGCTAGTAGGTAGGTTTGTTTGCTAATTTTATTTAGTGGCGTGACTTTTTAAGATATATACGTACATATCCACACACACATATAAAACAGCGCTGGCAGTTGACAAAACCGGGATTAATACTACTAGGCAGTGTATCGTGACATTTCCCCCCCTAACAAGCTCAAGATTTGTTTTTTAGCTTGTTTTAGAGTTCAGCCCCGCTATTTCCAGAAAAGGAATAAAATGCCCTGTTCATTGCCAGAGTGAGGAGGCTGGTGGCTCAGGGACCAGGGAGCAGGCTCGTCTCCATCCCCGCACACTGTGTGGAGAGCAGAACCAAGCAGATGGCAGCCTCCCAGTCCTGGAGCTCTTCTGACCCTGGAAGACATAGTTATGCTTCTGTGTACATCTCCCCAGGAGAATGATGACGCCTCATTCTTCTCTCTGAGTTTGCACCTCTGAAGGAATCTCTTCAGGGGTCAGTGTGGTGTTGGAGCTTCTTGACATAAACATCTACTGAGGTTCTTTGCATCCCAAAGTAACGTGTTTACAGAAACTAAAAAAGTGCTTTTAAAAGAAGAAATAGATGTCCTGGTAAATGGAATAGGTTTGAGGGTTCTTGAAATGACAGTGGCCTGCCTGCTTCAGTGGCTCACCCCAGCTCCCTTGGCAAAGCTCTAATTTGTTTCACTGGGCAGTTGCTTCTTTTCTGTTTTCTTCCCCCACCCGACTCCACCCACTCCAGCTTTAGAGGCTTCAAAACTCCTAAGGTGATACTATCTTGAGCCAGGAATGGGGTTTGGCAGAGAATTGTTTTGTGGGGCTTTTTTTAGCTTAATAAATCAATATATACATAACATTTCCTCCAACTTGCATAATGGACACTTGCAAATATGTGTGCATTGTCCTTCCAGCAAAAGTAGAGCTCTGATTTACCCACTGCATTTTTAAAAGAAGGAAGAGAGAAACCATGGACTGTTTTTAGTTCTCTCCAAGTTAATTGTGGTAGAAAATTAGGATGGCTATTGTGCAAGCTGTTCCCCAACACCTCTGATGTGCGTGCAAGGCATACAGAAGTCCTGCCTCCAAACTAAAACACAAGCCAACCTGCAAGGTTTTGCAGCAGAACCCAGAGTGAGGGAGGATGACTGGCCACTGGAAGCTTCCATCTTCATCCCTCTCCCTCTCCCTTCTGGATTATCTTCCTTCATTACCACCACCATCACTGCCACCCTCCCATGTTCTATGCCCCAGTTTATTTAAAAAAAAAAAAGTCCCTCACTGAGACATCTGAGATATACTGGAACTTTCAAAAGACCTTTCCAAACACTCAAGAAGGACAAAGGGGAAAGAAGCATAAATGGAGGCACAATTCCTGATGATCCAGCTTTTCCTGCTCTGGGTTCTGCCCTGTCTGCCCCTAGTCCCTCCTCCAGGGAAACGACTGCATCCCAGCTCACTAGATGGACCTGCTTACTGGCCCCTTGGTGATCAAGGCCAGGAGCTAGATTCCAGTCTGCCATTCAGCTAGAGATCCTGTTTGTGTTCTGGGCCTGTCATAACTCTTCTCCAAGTGACTAACATCTAGAATGTCCTTGTCCTTGAACAAAGACCCCCCCCCCCATCCTACTCACTTAGGGCTTTGTTCTTACCATCATAAGCATATTGAAGCCTTATCATAAGTCTTATCACAGACATGTTAAAATATGCACACATATTTACGGGAACTGCAAGATTGCCTGCATTGGTTGGGAGTGGAGTGAAGGGTTGTTTCTGTTCCTTATCCTGGTTACCTTCTGTTCCCCTGAAGTCTGAGCCACAGTTCAAGAAGTGACACTTCCCTCAATTGAGAAGGTGGACGCTCTTCCTTGTTATCTGATACATGTACTGAGGCAGAGTTGCAAAGTGGGAAGCACAGAGATCCTGCAGCTAGATTGCCTAGACACAAAGCTAAGTTTTACAGCTTACTAATTGTATAATTTAGGGCAAGTAACTTAACCTCTCTGAGTTTGAGTTTTCTTTCTTGTTTGTTTGTTAGTTTGTTTGTTTTTATCCTCACCCAAAGACATTTTTTGATATTTTGTTCAGATAGCGTTGGAGAGAGAAAGAGAGAAACATCAACGTGAAAGGGACACATTGAGTGGTTGCCACCCACACGACCCAACCAGGGCCAGGGACAAACTGCAACCGAGGTACGTGCCGTTAGCGGGAACCGAACCCCAGTCTCTCCAGACCCCAGGCCAATGCTCTAACCGCTGAGCCAAACCAGCCAGGGGTGAGTTTGAGTTTTCTTATCTACTAAATTGGGGGATTAAACCTCATAAGGTTGTTGAAAGTGTTAAATGCTGAAGATACCTACAATACCTGGGACACAGTAGGTGCTCAATAAATGTTAGCTATTGTTGTTGCTATTATTCTTATTAATAAAGTTTGCTATATTGGGCACCAATTAGGTCATGCTCTCCAAAAGCCAAGCTTCTATGTTTGCTCTCGGACAATGTAAATCAAAGATTTCAACTAATATTCCCATGCAGTGCCAGCTGTTCTAGCAAACCCTAGTATGCAAAGTAAGAAAAGATTCAGCTCAACCTACTAAATGCCTAATTTGAAAAGGTGAATAACATGCCAGCTCAGATTTAGCACAACAGGCCCAAAAATGCTCAGTAACAAACAGAATAAAGTTTGACCAATGACTTTATTTTTCCACAAAGTCTTTTGGAAACTGGTATGTTTCAAAAACCCAAGTCAGCTAAACCTTAAGGTCAGGTTCTCAGAGACACAGATTTTGGATAATTCAGATCAAACAGCCTAGGAAAAGACAGTTCATGATGTCTTAATGATCCAGACTGGCTCTCTTCAGTACCCAGAATTATATTGACATGATAACTAATTTAACTTGAGCATTTGGACCTGATCAAATTATGTTTGTGTTTTAATAAGAAAAATAATGGCCAAGTATTTTCATGGTTTGAGCAGACTTTTTAAGCAATAGGTTTTCCAGGGTGGAGGATGTTGGGGGGAGGATAGCACCCAATGGAGAGACATTTAAATGGCGAGATGTTTAAAACATATTTTTCAAGAGTGATTGATTGTCTTAACACCCAAATGGAAGGAATCCTACCATAGCATTTACCACAATTTGCTTTCTTTTGGAAGTATCTGTCACTGAAATTGGATATGTTAGTTTAGGAACCAAATATTTGCTTTGCTAATAAGAGATTGAATGAAGCAGTTGCTTGGAAAAAGCAATCTTTGATTTAGGAGACGGAGGCAATTCTAAAAAGAGGTGGGCTGAGTATGTGTGCCTTATGCAATGACTGTTTTTTATTGGGAATGCAGAGCTAATAGGTTATCATCCAGTTAATGTGCAAGCAGGATGACTATAAAATAAGACTGATTTGTGTATGTAGTACACGGCATTAGTCACAGATTAAATTATTTAAATGACAAGGATTGACATAATGTCAGACTTTCTGGTCTGTGGATCTTTAAATGTTCATCA